TCTCCATGACACTCGATTACGCTCCAGAGCCAACGTGATTTGTCGCTACCTGGCACCACGACATGCCGTTACGCTCAATCTAGCCCTTCAATGGAGGCACTTCGAGCGGGTCCTGACGCAAAGGAGCCGGCGCCTCGAATGCTCTTCGAACCACGACGTCCACCTGACCCTGAATCCCACCGAGGGCACTTGCGAGGACGAATCGGCTGAGCTGGAGCTGCAGTCAGCACGTCGGTAAGTGGCATGAATCGACAAAGTCGCATGGCATCAGCGTCTCAGTTGTCCACGCTTGGCACAGGACTCGGTCGTCAACGTAGCCCCTTCTCTGGAAACGCCACACTCGCCAACACCGGATTTGCTCAGCCACCAACATCACTTCGGGACGCCTTGAAGCCTGACTTGACTCAATCTGGACGCAGAAAGGCGAGACGCTTACGTCGAAACGGTTCTTCCTCATCGCGTCTCTCCAACGGAGACACCAACCGCCACGACAACTTTTGCTCGCGATTACGCTCGGTTTGCTTGCTGCTTCAATAGAGGCTCTCGGCCAGTCCCAGGCTCTCTTGGTCTCCGATGCCTTGACAGTTTTTCTTTCTCGCTAAAGCCCGTTCACGGTTCTGGGGTGGATGCGCTGATGGACATTTGGAAAGTAGTACAAAAACGGTCATGGTGCATGCTTCCATCGTCAAATAAGCAGCTCACTTGTTCGCAGACAACCACACTTGGCTGAGCACAAAGCTGGGATAAAAGAGACATCTTCCGATAGAAGAGGTAGCATCGCAAGCTGAAGGTTTGCTGCAGGAAGACTTTCTCATTCTATTTTTGTCTCCTTAAACATTTTTGAATGAAAAGCCACGGCCAATTTTGAGTGAAGGTCTGCTTCCAGCATGACATGTCATGTGAAAAAAACACATCTTTCTATACCTCACAGCATTGTTAGGCTTTTAGGCAAAGCTGATGGACATTCTTGGCTCTGCTACTCGATCTGTGCCAATCCTTCATACCTTTTTGTTCAGTAATCATCCTCCCTCGTAAAATGCATAGTATTCTTGCCCCTTAATTCATAAGATCTGATACCATTTCTTGATAAAGATTCTCTACTTTTCTGACCCTCGATATCGTCTCGCTTAGAAAAATACCATTCTTCAATTAATTTGAGCGCTGATCTTTTCTTTCAGCTTTATTCACCTCTTTTGGAGCAATCACTGAGTCA